CAATAGAACTGAAGAGATTTTTATACATTATGAGAGCCTAGGTACAACCTCTGGCTCTAACCTGTTTATAAAACTGTTTTTTGAGCCATATGCTAAAGTAAGTATTTCTGACAATGTTGAAAACTTTCACCGAAAAATTAATAAACTGTGCTGAAACTGTAGGGTCCCGGAAAAAGCTCATAAATTACCATATGCAGAATTATCTCAGAATCATTCCAGGGAGCCGTTTCAAATGTGTCCTGCCTGGTCTTCCTCCTTCTGGATTTCTGAAGGAAAAACGCTGTAAATTAATATGACTGTGAGGTCTAAAGGCAGGGTGGCTGTGCATAGTGTGGTTGTAGTCCAGAACGAATTCAGCCAACAAGGGCAAAACAAAAGGGTCAACTTGTCATCTACCCTTGAAGGGATACTGTTGGCTTAAGCAGTGTCTGAAAAACACTGCACTAAAAAGGTCGAGGGAGGAGAGAGCCAAGAACTGACCCATCCCATCAGTTATATTGCTACTGTTCCCTGGCCAGATGAGACTAGTCAACATTGGTATAGAAAGTAAAGGTTCCTCATAGCTGAAAATGGACGGGTAATTCGGGGATGAAAAAGCCAGCACAGACTGTCCCTAAATTGAAAACTCTCAATGTAATGCACGTAAGTGGTGGTGGGTGTGAATAACTCCAACAAGGTCCCTTTGAAATTTTCCCAAATACTCTCTGTGGCACAAGCTAAAACAAAGGCAACCACGTGCAATCTGATGGAGGATGTAGATTGTCCAGGTCACAGAAATTTGTCAACCGGATGCTTTTATTCTGTCCTGATAGCACTTCAGACTTCTTCCTTGGATTGGAGAATTAAAACATCGCAGTAACATCTTCAGGTAATAGAAAAAGGGGAGAGGCTTGAGTATGGATTTAGCTTTCTGTCTAGTTGCCTTTAATGACGACTTTGAAAGAGCACGCTTTCAAGTCCAGAAGGTAATTAATTTCTTTAAGTATGCTGCAATTGCTCACAAAATGTGTTTTAGATGAGTAAGTTTTGTGATGGGATTGGATTTTTCAGGTAGTGGTCTAATATTGACCAAAATCAGAATAATTAATGTGCAGACATTACACCTTTTTTTTTGTGTTTGTCAGTGAAAAGAAAAAAAAGCACTTAGGGAGAAAATCGTACAAGTAATACTTTCACAAATAGTTTTCAGGAGGTACAAACAGATTTGACTGAACTTGACACCGCTCTTACTGGAAAGAGGTGAGCAGTGACTGTTAACCATGGCCAAAGTTAACTGTGATTGCTTCTGCCAAAACTGCGATCTTGGCAGTCTTGGCTTCCGCAGTTTTTCTGTGAAGCTGCAAAAGAGCTGTGGGGAGTTGTTGGTAGAGACTTCTTGAATCCCCATGTTGGCTGCCCTGTTTCTGGCTCCTGGGTAAAGCATGTCGCACTGGCTGCTGGGACTTGTCTTGCTGCAGGAGTGACCAATACAAGATTTTCGAATTGCTTCCACAAAATACCAATTTCACTGCTTAATCCATTAATTGTGTACCTTTCTTGTTAGAGACAGATCAAATTTGGGTAAAGATTACAACCTTCCATAACTTTTGCAAAAACATCAGTGTCCCAGTGTGTTGCAGTGTGTGTGAGGCCATATGTACGTGGCTAAAGAGGAACAGCGCCTGTTGCACAGGGACTTGCTTTTCAGATAAATATGCATAGGAGGAAGAAAAACTTTTGACAAAATGAGACATTTTGGATCATTTGCTTAGATAAAAACCTATTTTCCTCCTCTTAGACAAGGGTAAAAGGGACCAGTTAGGATCAGTGCCTTTTGTCGAAGTCTGTCTGCTGCTTGCATCTCTAGTACATAGGTAACTCCTGCTGCGGGTGTCAAACTGAAGTTACAAAGGTAAAATACTGATTAAAAATCATGAAGCTGAAATAAGCAAATGCATTTACAAGAAAGATCAGTTATATTTATGCCAAATATTTACAAGTAGTTTAAAACAATCTATGTTTGACATGGTAAGTTGTCTTTATCATTAAAATGATCATGAAATGGTAAACAACTGTTAAATTTATAGAGATAATGAAGCTTGTCAGCTACATCTTTCTTGTGCCGGTATTCCTGTTTAGCTCAGGTCTGCATACAGATTTGGTGGAGTGATGATGAGAATCTGTTTGACCTTTGGGAACGATGCCAGTGTAAAGCTGTGCCCTGTTCTGTTTGATTTGATGAATTTGTCCTGAAGTGCTTCTACCTGTAGTTCAGATCATCTTTATCTGATTATTCTTCCAGACGCTTTCAAAGGTGGGTCTGAAAATCAAACTTCGGTCAAACAGGGTCGCTGGTATTTGATTTGCAATAGTTGAAGTTAGTAAACTGGAAAACAGAAGTCGTATTTTTAATGTGTCCACTAATCAGTCTGTTTTCTATTTTGTACGGATCCTGAACGTATCCTAGTCTACTGGTCACATATTACTCTGGCACAGAAACACCATGGACTGCAAAACTGTGGGGAGATTTCAAATGTCTTTGTTGTTTGAAATTATCTGTACTCAGCCAAGGAGTACAAAGAATAATGCATTATTTACAGGAGGATGCTAATTGGTTTTTTATTTTTTAAAACTTTTATACCAAATGCTTTCTATACCTTAGTTAAAGACAACATCAGAAACCTAGTTTAACTCTGATTTTAAATGTCAGTAACAATATAACTCTATTCTGTTATATTTTTTTTCTGTAAGATTTAGTTAAAATATGTAACCATAGCTTCATTGAAGTATGTATATGTAAAGAGAGGACAGGTCTTTTTTAACTTCATGGATCTTTAATTGCTTATGAACTTCAAAGAGAAACTTGTAGAAGGTAGATTGATGACAGCACTTTACTGTGCTTACAATTTAAGTAATTGAATACAACATAGCTGCTGTTTGAATACAGCTCTGAAATCCAAATTATGTAAATCTAGTGTTTCAGAACCAGCTAGTAGAAATAATCATCATTTTCGCAGTTGAAGATATTTTCTTTGGATAAATCCTCTGACACAGTGCTTTCCTATTGATGCGTTTTTTTCATTATGGATATGAAGAAGAAACTGTAGGCATGTTTGCCTTTAGCTTTTTGACGTTTGTGACTCCACTTGAATAAGCTTTAACTTACAGTTAATTAAGCACAACTGTCAATGAGCTTCATGGGCTTATGCAGAAACAAACCTTACGTTTATGAAAGTATTGGGGTAGGAGAAGGGAAAAAATATTCTGGGAAAGTGTCTCAAGCATATTTTTCCTTTCAAGTTGTGCAGCTCAGCTGGGATGGTGTTCAACCGTTCTCTGTCCATAGTTGTCAATGACCCATCTTTGTGCAATCATCACACTTTTCCTATACAAGAAACACAGAACAGATTATACCCTGCTATTCATCTGCTAGACCATAATATAATGTTTACTGCGCTGCAGCTGTGATCAAAATGACTGTGTCTCCAGCATCTACAAAATTTGAGCTCAGGGCTAGTTATAAGTGTTTGGTCATCCAAAAAATCCATGCAGCCCCATCTGGCTTCTGAACTCAGCTTTCCTCTTGGATACTGTAAGATGGGTTTGAAATTGTGTCCATGGAGGCAGTATGATGAGATGAAAAGGAGGAAAATTTCTACTCTGCCTTCGGTTTTGTGTCTCCTTGACAGGGAGAAAGGGAGATGCATTAATGGAACACTGGCACTCAGGCAGCCCATATGGATTGCCCAGCATCTTGCAAGTAGATGTAAACAATTTGATTTTATGGGAGAAGAGAAGGAAAATTGCTTGTTTACATTGCTTGTTTACATTCCCCCCCTGCCCGCCCCCCTTCCTGACTGAGTTTAAAAAGCTCAGATGACTTTTATGAGAAAAAGCTTAGGTGTTGTGTCAGCTCTGCTTGAGACCAAAGAAACTCCTAAGAGGACTGTTATGCTCCCAGCTGATGTGATGGCCACCAATGAGTGGGAAGAGGTGGCAATTATGGAGAAATTCTGGCAGAGGTAGGAAGGGCAGAGTGTGACTCACCCTTCTTCAGAGGTATGGGACACTTGTGTTCCAGTACCTGCTCCAGTTGGTGTTGAATTATTTATTCAACCCAGGAAGGATAAACTGAGACTTTTTTTTTTCCATTTTATTTCAACAAGTGAAATTTTATTTGAAATCTATTTTGTATGATTTCAGGAAAAAAAATACTCCCACAGGCATAGCTGGAAGCTGTGTGCTAGCCACGCTGTTGTGTGGATAGGGCAGGTACCTAGTTAAAAATGAGTATTTCAACATCTGTGCCTTCCTGTTCCTTTGGGGTCTTGCTGGGGAATGGTTCTCAAGTGTATACAGAAAGAATTTCAGCATGCAGATTTCTGGAAAGCTCTTGTTTGGAGAGGAAGATGGGGGCTCTAATTAAGAAAATGCTAGTTTGCATTGCATGTAAAGAGTTGTGTTCGTTTATGTGCTAGCTGATTATTTAATTGTTGGCTGTTTTCTAATATTTGTCTTGCGCTGTAAAACTGAAGGCTTTTTTTAAATGTTAGGTGAAATGGTGTTTGTGCAGCACCTGATAGTTACTGTCAGAAGAGCAAAAAATAACAAGTGGCTCCATTTTTGGAAACAAACCTCTGGATTTCAGCTTGCATGTATTGTCTGTGCTAGCTGATGTAATAGGCAACCTTGAATTGCAAAACATCTGACTTTCGTGGGTGCCTATCTCAGCGTTTATGGCACAGAAGAAGTTTTCAGCTTTAGAAAGGATTTATTCTACCTGCCAGTGTGATTTACATACCGTATGTCTCCTCTTCAGGGTCTGAGTATCCATGGCCATAGCAAAGTGCTCTGCCTCATCTGTAGTGTGTGGAAATAGGTTTCTTTTAGTGATATTAACTCCTACAGAGCCACTTTATTGCCATCCTGTATTATTTTTTCTTGGCAGTTGTGCCAGCTGTACTGTGTGTGACATGGAAAGGAGAATACTATGAATTCCTGGTTTTGTTTGTTCTTGGCAGGCACTACTACACTTCCTACCCTCGTGCGCACACCTACCTTGATGATGCAGCCTTCCCTGGATATCAAACCCTTTGTGTCCTTCCCTGTGGACAGCAGCTCTGCTGTTGGATTCTTCCCAAATTTTAACACAGTAAGTAAAGGTGTTTCCATATTTAGTTTCAGTATATGCTTTCCAAGCCAGTTCTAAGATCTGGTATTGAAGTTGCCTTAAAACAGTGCATCGTGGACACAATTCTAGAGAACTGTTTTTGTCTGTGCTGTGGTGGTTGCTGTTCCCTTGTGCGGAAGGCTCAGAGTGGTACCCAGCCTTCTTGCTGTGAATGGGGCCAATTCTTTTTTAACGTGGTCTGTTGGGGTCGTGTTTGCATACTGAAAGAAACCACAGCAATAGAGATTTGATGAGCAATAGAATAATTTTCAGCATTTGCCTGGGCATGTGCATTTCCATGTGCTGTTAAAAAGGAAAAAGCAAAAGCTAACGGAAAAACAGGTATGACAGGTAAGACCTAGATCTGCCACTGACGTGAATCAAGCAAAGTCTATTACAGCTAGTGAAGCAATTGGAGAATCTTGTTAATTCTGCATAAAAATGATAAGGTCTGAAATTGCGCAGCCAGCCAATGTGAAAAATGTGAACCTGCTGCTTTTAGTTAATGGTGAATAACCTGGGTTTTTGCAAAAATAGATATTATTGCCAAAATAATGCTGAATGCTTCTTTAGTTCTTCATGTTTTTATCAGAGCAACAATAACAAAAATACGGTCTATTGCAGTTCTCATTTCTTTAACAGCTCATAAAATGGTTCTGTAAGTTATCAAAATGCTTTTTTGCTATTGCACTTAATCATTTGTTTAATTAATTATTATCTTAAATGCATTGAGTACAACAAAAAACAGTATTTTGTATGTTTCCGTGTGTGGTGGTATTTCATCATGGAATGAGTCGGCAAACAGTAAGCTAATAGCAACAGGAAGAGAACTGCTCTGGGTCATTTCTGCCAAGTCAGCGAGTACAGTCTGTTCATATGTGACCGTTGCCTGAACTGTACAGTGTCGCACTTGTCATCACTGTAATTGCGGGGGGGATGGAAAGGGAAGCAGGGTCACCACTGCCAGACAGTGATCAGCTGAACCACTGCCAAGGGTTTCTTTTTGCAAACTCACCTTCTGTCTGAAGTAAAAATGGCAAGAGGATTTTTTTTCTTCATGACTTGCAAATACATCGTGCTGACAGGCCTTGTGCTACAGCATGCAGTGCTGTGGGATGGTTATAAGGTAACGTATCAGTTAGATTCTTTCAAATGTCAGCAGCCTAACACGTATTATAAACAGTAGCAAATATTACTAATTCATTGCAAAATGTATATGTGAAAATTGTGCATTTGTGAGGCAGATGTGGGGATGTGCATGTGTAGATACTGGGGGGGTACATGCACATGTACAAAGAGATAAAAGATTAAAAAGAATGCTGGTATGTTTAAAGTGCAGGACCAAAACTCAATACAATTTTAAGAAAGCAGTGTGTCATTCTCATCTTCTAGGCATGATGCAATTCATATTCATTTTCCATCCTCTTTCTAATACATTCAGGAATTTTATTTGTTACTGATTTGTCTGCTTTCCAGTTGCACTGGTTTTATAGGTGAGCTTTTTCACAGAAATGTAAAGACTTTGAGAACTTTTCTTTAGGGATGCCGTAGTTGTGTCAACCAACATTATTTGCTTACTGGTGGTATTACTGAATTTCTGAGTTGCAGTAGGGTCTAGAGACAGATTAATTTGGATATTTAGAATGGTTTTGTCTGTGTACACTAGCTTACATCTATCCAGGTTACATTAAGTTTGCCTAATTCCTGGAGTGTTTATCCTTCACACCTGTTGTTTCTCTCCAAACTTTTATGGGTTTTATTAAAAAAAACCCAAAAAGGCCTGGGGTAATCAGCAAATATTGTTGACTCAGTGTCTACTTCCTCCCTTCAAATTCTTGATGATCATATAGAATCATGCTGCTATGAGCTACGGACAGCACATGTTTAAACTCTTTTTTGAGGAACAGTGGTTCAGTACTACTCTATTTCTAATTCACAGACTTTGCCATTTATCTTGCAGGTATTGATTTTCCCTAACAGTCCTTTACAATGGACTTTAGAGCTCATTGGAAAAGTAAATCATTGATGGTTATTTACTGACAGGCACAGTGAACACCAGCTGTCGTGCACTTCCTTTCTTTATAACTTAGCACAGCCTTTGCAAACATAGATTTCTATGTTTGTGTATATATAATATTTTTTTTTCTTTTTCACTGCGAAGTGGTGGGAGCCGTATGTAGAAAATTTGTAGAAAGCCTTTTTCCAGAAGAGTTTGAGTGAGTAGAAGCTAAATCCAGTTGACACATAACGTATGCATCATCCAAAGTGCCTTAATTTTTCATCTTGTGCAGGAACAGAATATTATAAGAGCTTTTTGTCCCTTACACACCCCACCCCACCACCATCCTGCCCCTCCAAAGCTATCATTTACCTTATGGAGCAATCAGGAAATCTATGCATTTCACTCACAAGAGGACTTGTCAAGGACTGTAGAAAGTGAAACCTCTAGTGTGCAGCACTCAATCTCTTTGCCTTCAGTAGGACCCCCTACAGTGTTTCCTAAAGAACTTCTCTGATTTATGGGGATATATTTAAAATCTGAGGTAAACCCTTTCTTACATAGTTAACTTTGACATTTTCAATTCTGAAAACATCTGTGTTGCTCCAGATAAAGCATCAGTGTTCCCATTTCATTTGTGGAAGTGTTCTGATTACTTGCTTCTCTCCACATGGGGTACTTTCAAATGAAGCACTGAGCAGACCCTGATTTTTTTTTTTAAGAGAAATGCCTACCCCAAGTATATCTTATTTTCTTGATGGAATTGTGTGATTTAGTTTAAAATGTCTCCTTTCTGTTTCTCCTAGAAGCATTAATAGTTCTAAAAACATCATAGACATATGTATAGTACTTACCAATTCATGCCCCAATTACGTTTATCTTTGTTCCTTAGGACTTGCTTATTATATAGGAAAAATTAATTGATGAATGATTGCACTAACTCCTTGGATACATGCCTTTATTCCTTGGTAAGGGTGCCTTCTTGTTTCAACAGATCAGCCAGAAGGGAATCTTCTAAGGGCAGAGTGAACAGTTGCAAGCAGAGAGGTATTGCAGAATAGGTGCTCTCTTCTTTCCTGGTCTTTTCACGGCACCAGGAAAATAGTTTTGTCAGAACAGGACAGGCATGATCAGATGTCACAGCCTGAACCTGAGTTGCTGCACAGAAGGACAAACCCTCTCTAAGAAGTGCTGTAGCAGCAGATCCAAAGGTGACATCATGTTTGTCCTGGCATCAAGTTCTAAAAGCTCTTGCTCGGTTACTCATATCCCTCTGTCTGAAACACACAGATTGAATCAAAATCTCGGCTGGTATTACTTAAAATGTTCTTGTTTATAGTGGAGTGGGCAACAGCATTATAGGAACTTCCCAAACTGGTACCTCCAATTTGGAACGGGTGCTGTACAAAAAGGTGTTGTTGAAGCAGAGCTCCTTTTTAGCATGCTAAAATGACTCTAATGATTCCTTAACGTGTAATACCTTGCGTATTGTTTATATTTAAAGATCTGTAAGACTTCAAAGTCAAGTGCATAAAGTCAGCGGAAATCAAATTTAAGATTACTGTGGTTCCCGTTGTGTGTTTATTATAATGTAATCTTGAATTTTACATTCCCTGGCTTCCACCACACAGCTTCACCTTCTGTACCATTCTTTCTCTGCACTTCCCTGACTTTGTCTCATGTCATCCATCTTGTGTGCTGAATGAGGAAAGGGTGCTTTGTGATCACATCATGGAAGGTTATCATGCTGCATTTGCTAAAGTGGTTAAAAAGTCAGGATTTATCTTGCAAGCTAAACATAATGATCAGTCTACATCTCTCTAAAAAAGGATGTATACTCCCCAGGAAGAAAAAAATTCAAAACTCCAGTGTGTTCTACCTTGTCCTGAAGTGAGAACAGCACTACGTGATTCAAATTTAGTCAAAGTGTACAGCCAGGGACCTGTCAGTCTGCACAAAAGCAGTATCAGCAACTTCTCAGATTCTATCATCATAGAAAATAATCAGCAATTCATATGCTTCCTTCTGAGTTTGTTGTGGCCCCAGGGGTAATCAAAGATTATAGCATCTTTTATAGCTTTCACATTAGTGAAATATTTTCCATCTAACTAGCCCATGATTGGTTTCTAAATGCTGGTTCATACCTTTGTATTTTAGAGGACACATAGGTTAATGTGGCCTAGTTACTGCTTCAGTGTCTATTTCTCTTCAAGTAGGTTTATGCTGATTCTTTATATGAGAGTTCCCTCAGTCCCGTTGCCAGTGGACCAGAAGTATTTTACATCTGCCAGTGAAGGTGAGCCAGCTGGAATGTGCTACAGGAAGAGAAAGAGGAGCTGACTAGTAACTTAGTCAGAAATATCTGACTCTTCTCCAACATTAACCCCGCCTGGACTAAGTATCCCTGGCCTTCCCCCAAGACAACTATTGGGAGGGATTAATTTGCACTTTCCTCTTCTGCATTTACAATTGTGTCCCTCATTTGTATTTGCTACCTATCCAGTTTTCATTTGAAGGGCCCAATAATCAGCCAAGGCAGAAGCAGAGGTCTGCAGATAAGAGTACAGGGCACTCATATTGCCAGCCTCACTCGCCGCCCTGTGCCAAGTGCCTCTTCTGTGTTTGGCATGGCATTGTGGCTCAGGAGCTTTCTCTTTCCTTAGCAGAGTCTGAATTCAGCCACTTAACACCCTGCTGCAGTGCCAGAGTACGCTCCGGAGCTCGGGACTGTATACAGGAGGAGCAAATTACAGATGCAGCCAACTGGATGTTGCCAACCCATTATCTATGGTCCTCTTTATCTAAGTAGATTGTCTATGTGCTCTGATTTCCCCTTTTCCTTTTTGTGAAGTGCTGGAGGGAAGTGACCTGCTCTGCTCCTCTCCCTCTGAAACACTCGAGATTTGTAAGAGCTATGCTTTACGCTCATTAACAGCACAGAAAGGAAATTTAAGTGATTAACTGAGAAGGAGAGGTGTTTTGT